ACAAAATGAAAAAAGGATGAATGTGGCAAAAAATCTCCAGATAAAGAGTACATGGGTTTTCCTTGCTTCGCACTAGTTTTTCGTCCTATATGCAGCTAAGCTTGCTATCTGTGTCTAATGTAGACACACCACTCCAGCAACTAACGTCTACTTCTTGAGGCATCTAATCCTATTACTACCAATGTTTTTGGTTTTTTTTTCAGCTTTTTCATTTGCATATTTCTCCACTTCTCAGACATCACAGGGGTCAGAGTGCAAGGTCGACCTGTGTGAGGCTCAAGGACATTCAGACATTGATAAGCTCTGGCTGTGAAAGGGATCAAACCTGTGACCTTCAAGCTGGCCACACCAACCAGAGACACGCTCCATGCATCTGCAGCAGAGACTATCATCTGCTGCAACATCCACCTCTGTCTGGATGCAGAATCCAAATCTAATGCAGGCAGATGCACTTCCTGTTCACTTTCTCAGTTTGATTGCAGCCATAGTCTGTGTAAGAGTCTAATGAAGCATCCCGTCATCCATCCATCCATCCATCCATCCATCCATCCATCCATCCATCCCTCTCTTTCTACCGTTCCTGCTCTCCTCCTCTTCACGCTCCCTCCCTCCTCTTACACAAGTGGGTGACAGATGTGAGCCACTATGGAGAGCACACAGACACCTAGCGCTTTGCTGCCAGGCGCCGCTGCTCTTATAGGGTGTGTGTGTGTGTGTGTGTGTGTGTGTGTGTGTGTGTGTGTGTGTGTGTGTGTGTGTGTGTGTGTGTGTGTGTGTGAGTGAAAGTGCATGAGTGTGTGTGTTTACGCATCATGTGCAGTTGTGTTTCACTTATTGCCTTCATGCAGGAGCTGTAAGGCATCACAAAGTGCTGTAGTAGTCTGTGTTTGGATTTTGAATGTGGGTGCATGTATGTAGCTATGCATGAGGGTGCGTGGCAGTGTGTGTGTCTAATATATACATATATATATATATATATATATATATATATGCTGACAGTATATGTGTGTGTGTATATGTATGTACAGACACATTTTGCTCCATGACACACAGGAATGAAATGGACAATCTCTCTCTCTCTCTCTCTCTCTCCCCCTCTCTCTCTCTCTCTCACACACACACACTCTCACACACACACTCTCACACACACAGCGGTACATGTCAGGGGTAATAATGGATCATGTGAATGGTGAATGCGCATGGAACAACACGGCTGGAGAGCTATTGTTGTTGAACGCACAGCGAACACATACTCCGCTCTCTCCAATCATATTGACATTCCTCTAATGCCTCTCTCTCTCTCGCTCTCTCTGATGCTCTCTCGCCCTCCTCTCCCCTCTTGACGTTATTCTCTGGGAAAAGAAAGGAAAAAAATTAAAATACTCAAAAGAAATTTCCCACTGGGATTCTGCATCCTTCGCCTTCTTGGTAACCACGTGTTTGTGTGTAAAAGCACTGACCACTTAAATCCTACTTTTGCCTCCGGCGCCATTTTTTGGTCGATATTACAGTATATGTTAACTTCTGTTTTTTTTTTTAGNTGTGTGTGTGTGTGTGTGTGTGTGTGTGTGTGTGTGTGTGTGTGTGTGTGAGTGAAAGTGCATGAGTGTGTGTGTTTACGCATCATGTGCAGTTGTGTTTCACTTATTGCCTTCATGCAGGAGCTGTAAGGCATCACAAAGTGCTGTAGTAGTCTGTGTTTGGATTTTGAATGTGGGTGCATGTATGTAGCTATGCATGAGGGTGCGTGGCAGTGTGTGTGTCTAATATATACATATATATATATATATATATATATATATNCACACATGCGCACACACATATCCGCTCACTTCACATGTAATGTAATCACCTGGGCTCTCCATGCCTCCTAACCCAATAAAGCTGACAGCCTCCACTACACACGCACACACACACACACACACACATCCTCCGGAACAACCTGTGATACATTTACCTCTCGTTTCATTTCATCCTCTGTTCCCTTTCCTCTGCCATGTTTTTCCCGCTACAAACTGACTTTGTGGCAGCCGACAACAGCTGTTGCAGTTTCAAACTCCAGCTTCTGGAGTTGCCGGTAGTTAGCAGCTAACCATTGAGTCTCATTAGCCGCTGACCCATTTCTTTTGAACAGCACAGAGTTTGGGGACTGACTCGAGTCAGTCCAAAGTGCCAGAATGAAGCATCGGGGGAGGGACAGGGAAACAGAGGCAGAGAGAGTTGGATTGACAGGGCTGAAAGAGAAAGCAGACGGACTGACTGTGGATCCTCTTTGTTACATTATTCAACAACATTCATGAATTGGGACAGAGAGGACAGAGAGAATGGAAGATGGACTGATAAATAGAGAAAGAAGAGGTCGAAGAAAGTAGCAAAATTGTGGGATGACTGTGAGTGTGCTTGTGTGTGTACAGTAAGTCTGACTTGTTGGGGTCTGCCCAGCGTTGCAGAAGGGTGACCAGGCGCAGCGGCCATAACCACTCCTCCGAGCGCCATCTGCTCCTCGCCACAGCAACTGTTGCCAGGGTACCTGCTCTCCTCTCCTCTGTCCCACCTTTTATTCCTCCTCTTTTGGCTTGTCACCTCCTTGCTTCCTCTTGTTTTCCCTCCCAAAAGAAGACCTGCTCTGCTTTCCTCCTGTTCTCTCTCTCTCTCTGCTCTCATGGCTTCCTAATTTCCTCACACATGCTCTTTTCTCTTCCCTTTCATTAATTTAATTTGCTTTTTCATTCTAAAGAGGATACCTGCTTTCTATTCAATAAGCTTTATTGGCGTGACATTCAATTCATTGTATATTAGCAACGCTTCAGCGAAGTACTAATAACACTGAAATAATACTGATACTGCTGCTAATGCACTTGCTTTTTTTCATATTTTTCCTCGTGTGCTTTTCATTTTTGCATCTTTATTTAACAACTAGTATACACACTGTACTTTTCTGGCATTTCTCCAGCTAGCTGATACTGTGCTATTACTGCCGCTTCTCCCCTGCAACACACACTCACACACACACACACACACACACATACACACACGCACAGACACACACACTACCTTCACCAAAATCTTTAATTCTCTGAGACTTTTCCTCTCCTCTTTCCTATGTAATCCATCTTCCTTCCATTCCTTCATTCCCTGGCAATTGTGTGGACATGACTCAGGGCCCCCTGTCTACAGAGGGAGAGAGAGAACCAGAGGAAGAGTGCAGAAAGGAGTTTGATGGTGGGGTGTTTAGAGAGAAAGGAAGAAAAGAGGTAGAGTGAGTGGGGGAGAGGGAGAGATCGTAGATCAGAACCGTCATGATTGAGCCATCTGCTGAGAGAGGCCAGTGAGACACACACACACACACACACACACACACACACACACACACACACACACACAAGCGTGCTTAAAGATCACCACTGCCACCCGTTGGGCATTTCGCGACACTACACCTCTCCTTCACCTCTCAGCTCCTCCGCGGCATTGTCTGACTGCTCTGCTGCCATCCAGCAGGAACATGCCAACCGGAGATGAGACACGTAGCTCTGAGCATCGATCAGTCTGGTCTGGCTGTCTGCTGAACCAGTCTTAAGCAGCCGATTCTGTTTGCTCCACAGGGTCTTCTTGTGCTCTAATATATGAGGTTTATCTCCACCTAACTCCTTTCTAAGAAGAGCGGAGCTTCAATACGGATTATGAGGCTTTGGCTCTTTCAAAACATATTGAGTATAGTGGTGTGTTACAGATTCTGGCCAACGCTACAATTCACCACTGTAATCCTGCTTTTGCTGTTTCATTCTTTCCCTGCAGTTAAATGTGATTTGTTGTACACTGTCTGTTCCTCTGTCTGGCTGTGGGTGGCTGCGTGTGGTAGTATTTTTATATGTGCAAACACTCTTTACTGCCCTGAATCGTTCATTCTTCTCCTCTCAGGCCTTTCCTCTCTCTTATTGCCGGCAGCGCTAAACGACGTCCAATCTCGTTCAGCTGTCTAACCTTTAATAGATTCATAAATGCTCCTCTCCCATTGGCCAGATCAGGCCATTTCATCCTATTAGAGATTAGCATACGGCTGAGTGGAGGAGGAAGTGCTCTTTATATGCTAATGATGAGATAATGTATGCAGCGACAACCCACCACTGCCCTGTTGGGAGGACTCAGGGTGGCCCGACGTGCTGAATCTTGAGGCAGTCCTGCGTCGATCTTGCTGTTCACTCTCATTCGCAGACACCTGGACTGAGTCTTTGTGAACGTTTATACAACACAATGCTCGACTGCAGTGTCGTGCGCAAAACAGACTGTGTTGAAGTTGTCGCTGTAGATGCCCCCGACGCTACAGGAGCGAATTGAATATGCATTCCTCCTGTACCTGATGTAGTTGTGTTACCTCCACTTGTGATACAGAGCTGTAACAATGACAGTGAAGAGGAGGGTTGTGTAATTTGAAAAGGTTTTCTGAGATGTGTAAAAGATCATTTGGCTCATTTTTGCTCAGTTTTACCATTTTAGATACACAAACATGATCAAAATAGACTTTACAGCGACAGTTGGACACTACTGGTAAATACATTCAGCTCATAAGATCAATACCACTCTCATACCTGTACAGTTATAATAAGGCTACCGCTAGCAGCTGGTTAGGTTAGCTTAGCTTGACACAAACACTGGAAGTCTGGCTCTGTATAACAAACCAGCACACCTTAAAGCTCACTAAATAACATGTTATATACAAAAACTGAAGAGTACAAAAAATGATTTGCCATTTTCAAAATATATAGCATGCTCATTGATGCTTCAGAGGTTCTAAACAGAAGCTTTTGTTTCCTTTGAGCAGATCCAACATAGCTGTTTCCAGTTTTTAAGCTAACCGGGTGCTGGCTGTAGCCTTGCATTTAATGTGTGGTATCAATCTTCTCAAATCAGCCTATCCCAAATTTGTCAACCTATTCCCTTAACTTGCCTGATTGATAAGTGATTGACTGACTGACCAACTGCCACCGCCTCTCTCTGTGCAGGAGCAAGGTGTGGTGGGAATGTCACGACCGCCGGGCGCTATCCCTCCTCCTCACCCTGGTGGGGGTGTGGCCTCAGGAGTAGGCCCCAACCAGGGGTCGGGACCACCTCCAGGCTATGTGGGCAATCAGCAGCAGGCGGCCATGATGAAGCAGATGATGGCGATGGAGCAGGAGAAGAGGGTGCAAATGCACATGATGGAGCAGCAGAAACAGCAGCTCTTCAGAGAACAGAGACAACAGCAGCAGCAGCAACTACTGGCTGAACAGGTGAGGTTTTTCAAGTCAATGTGCTTATACCATGAGGTTAGTGTGTCTGTGTGGGGAATTAAAAAAAAAAAAAAAAAACAGGAAGGCCTGTGATTCATCTGTCATGCATGAAATTATAATTTGTGTGTGTGGGCATTGTTTGTATGTGTCTGCAGCTCTAACAAGAGCAGCTCATCCTCTCCTCTTCTTTACTGTTGTCTGGTTGCATGTATAATTACCCTCAACCAGCCCCCTCTTCACTACTTCCTTTTCATCTCTGCAGTGTGTGTGTGTGTGTGTGTGCGCATGTGCATGTGTGTATGTGTGTGTTTTTGCCACATGCTGCCTGCTGTGATAATGTGGTGTTTTCTTTTTATTTCTCTCTCTGTGAGGGAATCAAGTATTAAAGAGTTCTGAACTCTGAAGTCACCACCCACTATGTTGGTTTTAATTGGATCTGCAAAAACATACACAGACACGCAAACTATAGGTGTCTGAAAGGAAACACATCCTGCTGGGGTTTAGTGTATGCTGTTAACTGGATATCATACCTCCTATTTAAATGAGCAATACCTTCTGGTGTCCAGGTACATGATCAGTCGCTGCTTTTCATGCTGCACGGACTCAGACTCCTTATTAATTATAAAACCTTTTTAAAAATTCCCTTTAATTTTCTCTACCTGCAGCATAAATTTGACTACAACAGAGTGTCAGGGCTGCCTTTAGATTCCTATTTGAACACTGATCACTTACAGTGCAATTTGTGTCACGCAGATACTGTACACTAATCTAATCCTGCTGGCGCACATCTGTCTCACCTCTGCCATACCAAAACATCTGCCTCACTTCTGCTTTACATCTGTCTCACCGTGACTGTATTCAACATCTGTATCAACTCTAACATACCAAACATCAGTATGTCTGCTCCACCTTACCAACTTTAATCAATACATGGTAACAACTACTGTTGATTGTAACTGTTTCACTCTGTAATTAATAGTTTTGTTTCTATATCAAAGGCATTGACAGCCGCTCATCACGAATTATCCCACTTCAATCTGATGTCCTGAAATAGTTTATTTAATATGATCTAAAATTAATTTCAACATATGTCTGATTAGCTTTTGTGAAGTGTTTGCATTTGTATTAAATAAAATGACTCAAATTATCAGACTGAGAATTCATTAATTTCTCTGTCTCTGAAATCATTAATTACACTGATAATTTCATCACTCACAAAATATTGTGGAAGAAAACACGATCTTGATCCACGTGATGCTGTTATGTTGGAGGTATCAGTGGTGTGTGAGTCCCAGCGTGCAGACCATCCCATGCATGGTTTTTCATGCTAAATGACTTTGATTAATTAATTAACTTATCATTAAATACTTCTTTTTCCCAGTGTGCATATTGTAACCCTTTTTAATTCTGTTAATGAAATCAAGTTTGTCAAACAGTTTTTACAGTGAAGTGTGACCCTGTTCTTGTGCGTACCCTATGATGATACCAAATCCTGAGTACATGACACACGTATGAGGGAGCTACATTATTCACTCTTCACAACTTGTCTGTGTCTGTAGCTCCAACAGCAGCAGCACCTCCCCAGACAGATGGGCCAGGGCCAGAGGAATCCATACCCCCAAGTCAGTCAATACCAAGGTGAGAGACACAAACACGTGCCTTCATTTCATCTGTGCAACGATGAAATGTATACAAAAAACACAAGAATGGCAGCACCCCAATAGATTTTCTAATAAAGAAGGCAAGACCCGACCTAAATTCTTCAGCATCTTATTGACGACCACATTAGTAAATTGATTTTTGGTAAACCAGTTTCCAGTTCTCTGCAGAGCATCCAGATGGTTAAAAAAAAAAAAAATCACACATGCGTACTTGGTCTGCAACAAGTATGGTATACATGGTAGACTGCCAAGGCATTTAGACATTTAACAGATTTTACAGTTCACTGTCGGCCATATTCACAGACAGATAGACACACAAACACATAAGAACATGTGTGCAAACAGCAGCGCTGACTGAACATCACCCTGAAACCAAACCTCGTCCTCTCTGTCAAATACATCAGTTGGCGCTCAGATGCTCTTCAGCCTTTCTCTCCCTGTCTCTCCTCTCTCTCTCTATCTCGCTCTCTCTGAAAAAAAAATATAGAATATTCCTGCTCTGCCTGTTACCACGGCAACTTGTCTGTCCTGGATCCCCCAGAGTTCCGGTGAAGTCAGAGAGATGGATGAGAGGAGGGAAGTGGGGGGGGTAGATAGTCTGGTAGGTAGAAGAAGAGGTTGGGAAGAAAGACAGAAAGAGAGAGAGAGACGAGTGGGTGAGTATGATGGAGAGATGAAGAAAATGCAGAGAGGGAGGAGAGGAGTCAAGTCGAAAGCCATTTATAGCCATCAGAGAGACTGTCTGCGAGTCTGGGAGATAATGTGGAGAGGAAGAGGGGGCTTCAGCATGAATCCCTGGCCTACATATATACCTGTTAGTTCAGCGATCCTGCAGTGTATCAGTGATTCAAAAGCAATGAGTGTGGCACTAGCACCTGCAATCAGAACACACTCATTCTCAGAATATTCATTTATATTAAATGAAGCAATGCGTTGAACATACATGGATGTCTTGCGGTGTTACGTTACCTCCAACTCTTCTCATTCCCGACTTACTTACGCGTCTGGAGTGTGTGATCCTCTTCGTTCTCGCTCCTCTGTTACAGTTCTCTCCGAGCTGTGAGGTGAGGGATTAGCAGAATGATGTCAGAAGTGGGTTTATTAGAGGATTTAGAGCCATTTCCACGCAAGCAGACCTCCTCAGCTCTACTACTACCAAGCCTCTAATAGGAAAAAGCAGGGAAGTGAGGTGTTGGGGCTTTAGTGTGTTTAGTTTTATTTTACTGTGGTGGGATTTGAACTAAATTGGGAGAGAAGCATTCGTTTCCAGACTAAACAGCTAGTCACAGAACATAAATCTTTGTCTCAGCACTGACTTATTAGATCAGTCTTATGTGCCATTTGGTGATTTAAGTGGATCTAGTACACAGGCTCCAAAGCTCTTTTACAAAAGTCCAGTTCCTTGGTGATTTCCGTCACCATATGTCTCTCTAATTTTCTTCCAACTCCTTTATCTCCGCTCTCTTGTTTTAACTTCTCTCGTTCTTCTTCTTTCCCAGGTCCTCCTCAGGATCTGGCATCCAGGAGCCAGGCTCTGCAGAACATTCGGGCCGCCCGACTCCTACAACAGCAACAGCAGAACCAGCAGCAGATGGTCCAGATGAGTTCTGTTCAGAGCCAAGGGGGCTCTGTGGGACCCCAAACTGACATGGGCCTACCCTATGGCAACCAGGGGTCTAACCAGGGTTCCCTGTATGCGCTCAACCCCTCCATGAGCCAAATGATCCACCAGCAGCAGCACCAGAGCCAAAGCGTCCAAGCCTCCATGGGTCTTCCACCGCAGCACAACTCCGCCGGAGGACCGCCCCGGCAGGCAGGTGCAGGTCCTGTGGTCGGCGGTATGCCCGGAGGCCCTGGAGGTGGTGGAGCTGGAGGGTACGGGGGACAGGGGATGTTAATGAACTCCATGACCCAGCAACCCCTCAAAGGCCCTCCCAATGCCAAAGCCCAGGCACAGAGACTGCAAAGCATGCTGGGAGCAGGAGGAGGAGGCGGGGGAATGGGGGCGGGCGGCTGGCCGCAGCACCAAGGACAGAGTCTGCAGGCCATGGGAGGAGCAGTCGGAAGGACTACAGGAGGGGGGGGAGGAGACATGGTGGGGTTCAGCTCGGCCCAGGGTTATGGGATGCAGCCGGGTCAACCCCCTCGCATGGCCAAGCAACACTTTCAGGGCCCGGGACAGGGGATGAGCCAGGGGATGGACCCCAGAGTGGGCAACCCAGCTGCGGGTATGGGTGGCCCAATGATGGGCCCTCACATGGGCGGTCAGCCCAGGACCAACCAGCCCCGACCCATGGTCATGAACCAGGGAATGAACCAGGGGGTGATGGGCCAGGGGATGACTGGGATGGGGGGTTTCGGGCCGGGCCCTGGGGGGCCAGGAATGGGGGCAGGGGGAGGAGGAGGTGGACCTTACGGACCTGGAGGAGTTGGGGTTGCAGGTCAGCCGCAGGGCTACCAGAGGACAGCCAATCAGGACATGTCATCCTATGGATATGGGGGCGGGCCCTCAGGTGGCGGAGCCTTCGGATTGGGCGATGGCTCAGGGGCGGAGCTGGACTCAAGCGATGGTTGGATGGAGGAGTTTTTCCCGAGCCAATAGCCAACAGGGAAACTGGAGATGAGTTTTTACTGGATGAATTAAACATTAAAGTAGGACAAATTAAAACCTGAGAAAGAAACAAACAAAAAGGACGACACGACGTGGACTGGCATGTTTTTGTTTTGTAAAACATGAGCAAGGTTATAAATGAGTTTGTGTGTTATGTTTTGTTTGTGAGTGTGTGTGTGTGCAAGTGTGTGATGGAGCGAGCGATCATTATGTCTCGTGCATATTAATGAAAAACCAATATAGAGATTAAGAGGTGTGTTTCATTAGTTTCCCTTTTTTCTCCACCGAATGAATTTTTCTCATGTTCCAGTGTTTGAAAGCGAGCCTCGTTTACACAGCAGCGCTTTGAGCCCGAGCTTCAGCAGGGGCTGATTGAACACCGCAGACTGATGAAGGGGAAGGAAGACTTGTTCTCAAGACAGCCATTTATTTGTGTTTGTGTGTTTGTGCCACCCAGCTCAGTGCTTCAGATCTCTCAACTATGCGAAGAGCTGAAGGGAGTAGAAAGCACTCTCAACGCTCCCATTTCCTCTCTTAGATTCGTGCCCCCCCCATACACACACACACACACACTCACACACACGTACGCAAATCTGTCTCCCTCACACTCTCTCACTCTGGGCTCTTCACTTGATCTCTTTCTCTCTCTCTCATCCTCCTTCCATCTCTCCTTCCGTCTTTCCCACCCTCTCTCCGGAGACTCGTTCCTCACTCTCAGCACTCCTTTCTCTGTTTAAATTGTGAGCATCACAACAGAACAAATGATGTTCGTCTATTGTGCCACACAAGCACACTCTGCCCTCTAGTGCTTTTGCTAGGCAACCGACCTGGGTGGCATTTTTGGGGGGGGGTTTCATTTCCTGTGCGTGGCTGTGTATGACGGGTATGCATGTGGAGGAAGACAAAGAGAATAGGCAGCTAAAGCAAGCATTTGGAAAAGCTTACACACACACATACACACACACACACACACACATATATATATATATATATGTGTGTGTGTGTGTGTGTGTATATACACCAACCAACAAACAGATAAACAAGCATCAGCCCGGGAGGATGAGCGGATGTGTTAGAGGCAGCTAACAGAGCTAATATTACATTAAACCCTCTGCCTGTGTGACACAAACCACATCACATGCATCAGGCTGACACAAAGCAAAACGATTCGCTGGGCACTGAATGTATTCAAGCACCACAAGTGACTTCTTCTTGTTATGGGAAAAAAAAATGCTTATTGAAAGCCCACCTACATTGTTTTGTTTGTTGCTGTGTTATTTCTAACAATGATGCTGGTTGAGTCTTTGTCGATTAAAAAGAAAAAAAAAGTTTAAATTAGCCTTCTTTTAGTTTGTGTTGTCTTCTGAATATCTGTTTGTCCTCCCGTCACACCACAGCCTTCTCCTCCATTGTGACACAGCTGGTTGTCAATCACCGTAGCCCTGCTTTACATCGTGGCTTCTCTTGTACCGCAGCTATAAAACGCCCTTGCTCCGAACTAGAACGTAACTGTGCTATACTGTAACACTACTGTGAAGAAATACAAGTTGTCCCCTTCCAGCGCTTTACTAGGAAAATGAACCACTGCTAAGCCTTGAGTTTGTTTTAGAGACAGCAGAGAAACTTCAGACAGCTGATTGGGCTTAAAGGGTGGCAACGGTTAGCGCCAGTTAGCATTAAAACAACCAGTGCTTCCACTGAAGTCAGTGTCTCCCCTTCTCTGAGGAAACTGTAGGCTTTACACCACGCCTTATGGCTTCATTCATCGTCAACAGGCTGTCCACTCTTTTGCCCTAATGGTTGAGTAATAAATATGTGTCAAATAGGTTTTAATACAGTAGTCGTTGGTAAGATAACACCTTACTTCTCTAACTGTTTTGTAATCTTGGTTAAAAGATGAATGAAAGTGAGTCTGTGCGTGCATTACTTTGTATTTAGCTCATCAGAGTGAAAGTTTGGAGGATGATGCTGTAATCAACAAACCAAAAAGCCTTCTTCTCTGTAAACTAACTCCTTGCCATCAACACATTTGTTCTCATGGTCGTTGGTGTTGTATAATCCAACCCTTTAAATACAAATCTTTAACCACCGCGCCCATTGTCCTGTAAGTGTTGCTGCGTTTGGTAGCACCCACGAATGAGGTTCTGTACTTTGGTTTCTGTCATGTTTGTGGAGCAGAAGTTCTCCGTCTCACAGTGTGGAGTTTGAAGGTCAAGGGCAGACAAATGTATAGGGTTGTAGCATTCCCCAGTTTTATCAGGGGAGAGAATGGTTACAAAAAAAAAAAAAAAAAAAAAAAAATGAAACCCTGTGTTGGTGTCTAGATAAACTCTTGGACTGTTTGAGCCTCCCTGCTCATACTTCCAAAACTTTGATAGCGCTCCAGTACTCCAGGCAGGCTCAAATAAAAATTAGGAGAGTCAGACCAGTGAAATGGAGGCAGTGTGTAGGAAGACACCTGAGATTAACCACTCCAAACTGGAGGCAGGACGGTAGAGAAACACTTCTGGGTCAGTGTTAAGGTCACAGCCTTTGTGACCCTTTTGTCTTCTTCAGAGTGAGGGTTCATGATATGGTTTGAAATCCCTTCAGGAAGAGAGGAAGCTTCCTCCATATATCATTATGTACCGGGACCAAGTCTGTAGACAACATTTTAACAAAAATTGTTGTTGTTGATGTTCTTTGTTTTATTTTATTCGTTTTTTGTTCTTTTTTTTTACTGGTGCTGACATATATGTGATTATGAGAAAAAGTATATAAAAGATAATGGCTATTTGTAAATATGTTTTTACAGGTTTAAATACATCAGATAATACAGTCTCTACTCTGTAAAGAATTTACTGTTTGTTGGAAAAATAGAGAAGTATTTTTATTTTTAAGTTTTTTGGTTTTACTTTTAACCCATCTGAGCTATGCCATTGCACTTCAGACAATGTCTTACTACTAATTTGTATTGTAAACCTCTTCTCTTTTTTGGAATTTTTTTCATTTGTTTTTTCTAGTTTGAGATTTGACTCTGTTCTTAAGCAGTGCTTATTTCTTTTTATCCTGTACAGAATTCTGAAATGTTAACAAAAGAGAGTTACAAAAGACATTTTGTTTGTTTGTTTTTCAAAAAGATACAATAAAGAGATAATGTTCTCGCTGATCATATTAAATAAAAGTTTCTGTTGTTCATTGTGTTCATTTACAGTCAGTACACCGCAACTGTGGAGGCCCAGAGCTGACAAAATGTAGTAAAAGGTTTTCAAGGAAGTCAAAAATATAACTGCCTACATCAACAACGTACAACTGACTAAAACTGAATTCATCAAAATAGTAAAATACAGTTCCCTTAATAAAAGAAAATCTAAATATATTTGGCAAGTAAATGCCAACAAAGTTAGTTAACTATCACTATATTAACGTTTTTAGTTTAGTCTGCCATTGTAAGTAAAATCATTAAATTATACACATTTACAAAATGTCAAGGAAGGATGACATAAAGTCAGAGGCTTATTTCAATTGTTCTTGATGAAGACTAGAAACATGCACTTGAAGAGACGGATAATGTTATAAACTGAAATGCTAGAATGCTTTAGCTACTGTTAAAAGAGTTTATACAAAATGAATGCAATATATGGAAGATATGCAGGTTAACATCATGGCTGGTGTAGTTTTATGATGTTTAATGATGAAAAGTCTGGTGGTCTGTGTTTAGCTACCAGCGCCTTTCGTTAAGCTAGCTAGACTCTCTCCTGATGTTTAACACACAAAATCTGGACGAATGAAACTTGTGAATGCTAAATAATTGCAGCTATAGTGAAAAATAAAGAGTAAAGTTTCACTTTATTTTATCAGTTTGTAGGTTATTGTCCGTTTAAGGGCTCCATACATTACGACACCATGTGTGTGCATACACAATAACAACATCAATACTTACCCAGTTAGCTGACAAGCAGTCATTTCATTTCATTTCAGGGTCATAAGACTGACGGAGACAAATGCGCACTCATTCATGTAGCGCCTAAAACCAGACTGACTAACTACTGCAGTAATGTTTTGTCTAACAGACCTGATTTGCATAATTAGACTTGCATATGCTAAAGAGCAGAGCCTTAATTCTGTCTGGCAGTAATAGCTACGATGAATCATGGGCTCCCTGTTGGTGTCAGCAGACAGACAGACAGACAGAAAGAACACACGCAGGGCCGGGACCTTTTGGCTGTAATTCATCTTTTTCATGATCCACCCATTTCAAACTCACTCCTCCTCATCCTCTGTCAGCCACGCCCCTTTTCTTCATCTCTCATCTTCGTCATGGCCACCGTCCTCTGCTTTTCCTCATACTCCTGCCACATCTTTCCTTTCCCCTCTCCTTAGGTGCCTTGTTTCTCCTCATCTCTCTACCCACCCACCCACCATCACCACATACACACACACACACTCATCCAGCACACTGCTCTCCCATCTGACATTGATAAATGGAGACTTACAGAGATGACAACATCATTACTCATGTTCAGTAGCGACACCACCTAGGACAGAGAAAAACGAGAGGAAGAGGGAGGATGAAGGACAGGACAGGAGGAAGATGGGGAGTGAAGAGGTGGTGGAGGGAGGCTGCAGTTGGAGGTGTTTGCTACAATCCACCCCCGATCACATACCTTACCATCTCCAGAGAACACGATCTTGAGGTGTTCATTACTGGTGTGAAAAAGTAGAACAATTGTTGATAGTACCAGAAGCCTGGAAGACTGAAACACACGGTTTTTCCTACACAAATCCAATCAGGTGAGAAGAGCTGCAGGGCTGTAAGAAACTACTATTTTCTTTATCACTAAATCTGCTGCTCCTTTCAATTAATCATTTATTGTATGAAATGTCAACAGTAATGGCAAATGCCTATCGCACATTACCAGCTTTCAAGGAATGTCCTCCAAGAAACACACATGATATTATATTTATAATAGAAGTCAAGCACTTTTTCACATACGAGAGGCTAAAACTAACAAGTTTTTTTATTTTTACTTGATAAATTGCTCAAATTCATGCCCTGTGATAGACTGACGACCTGTCCAGGGTGCACCCTGCCCTTGCCCAATGTCAGCTTGG